GCAATATTGGGGCTATTTATTAGACGAACTAGTTGATTACATACAATTGATTTTTTATATATTTAATAATATGAAAAATTCACTCATAACATGTAATTGATGAGTTAAGGAGGAGTGAAGGGAAAAAAGTAAACCAGAGAGAGAGAGTTATTTTGAAAATTTACTTAGATGCTACAAAGCCTACAATTTTTACAGGGGTGGTCATTTTTTGCGCTCAGACGATTAACCGGTATTTTGACGGGCTAGACGCTTGCAGAGTTACTCAAATCTAGGCTGGCTAAAAGCTCGTATATTTTTTATTTTCTTTTTTACTTTATTTTTTTAAACATAAAAATATTTTTAATTTTTATGCATGAAATTTATATTAATTATATAATAAAAATATTAATACAGTAACTATGTATGTATTAGATTTTCTATATTATTTTATATTTGACAATATTAATTGATATATATATATTATAAGTTATAATCTACTGATACATATAAATAATTGTTGTTTTCACGACTACACCTAAATGCCGCCTAATCCCCGTCTGGACGCCTTAGGAGCGACGCCCAGACCCACCATTAATTTCCGAGCGCCTAGTTATTTTAAAAATTGGATTTTACCTCAGAGAATTACTTAGGGAATTATAGTGGATAAAAAAAGTTAGATGAAAACAATGATAAATGGGTATAAGTAGAACTTATCCCCAAAAGCAAGTTCATGAAGGATGTGAGTTCTAACAACCACTTTATCAATTTTGGATTTTTTACCTCATCTTCTTCAGTAGTAATTAAATAGTTTGATTTGTAATTCTAGAATGCCATATATTTGAGTTGAAATAGTGGGATTGAATAAGTAATGCATAGTGCTTAAATAAGTAATTAAATGATGTTTCATCATCAATTTTATTCACCTCTGCAGCAAGCAGATAGAGGATTCCAGGAATTAGTTGGCACCAATTTTAATTGATGATATTTTGTCCTGAGGACTAAAATTTTTCTCATCTTTTTGTGATCTGCTTACTACTGCTCTTTGGCCTTTATTCACCCACCCTACTGACAGATTATGTCACATTGGTTGCAAATTTCAACACAGCCAAAAAATTTCTAAATTCCTTTGCCGTTTGGTAATCCTGCTAATAACATTTTCATATTCTAATGTAAGAAATTTATGAGACAGCCTAGGCGAGTTGACCTGTCATATATTTATAATCAATAAGTCTACTGTCATTTATATTATTTTTTGGATATATATGACATTTCGATTCAAAAAAGTATAAATTTGTTGAAATTGTATAGGTGTCCAACCATTAAGTCTGTCCAATGTTATAATGTGTCAATGTTATACCTTCCATAGTAAATTAAAACAATCTCGTTGGAGTTCGACCATTCCAAAGGCGGTAGCTAGTGTTGCTGTTAAGCAAGTCTAACCATTAGATACATATATTTTCTTAACAATTAATATTTTCTTACACAAGCAACTAGAAAAAATAACATAAACATTGTCAGTATGTCATATCACAATATAAGTACGCATAAAAATAACATAAACTAATAGTATTGTCAATTATGTCATATCACAAATTAAATACACATTTTTGTTTGAAAAGTATGACTGATCAACCTGTTTAACGACCAGATTGCCTCACCCGTCTAGCCATTGGTACATTAGCATTTTATTTTGCGTGTGCATTTTCCCTGCCCGACTATATATATGACCAGCCTCAATCAGGCTTTTTACACCAAACAAAACCAAAGGATATAAATAAATAAAAGAAGAGGAAATTAAAGAGAAGGCATGGTTTGCCTCAATCAGCATCAGCTTTTGATTTCTTGGATAGTTTTGTTAGTGTTGTTGGTCCCCTCAACCCATGCAAACTGTGCTTTTGAAGCCATTTTCAACTTTGGTGACTCAAATTCGGATACAGGTGGATTTTTCGCAGCTTTTCCATCTCAACCGTCTCCCAATGGCATGACATATTTTAGCAGGCCGACTGGTCGAACGACTGACGGCAGGCTACACATTGATTTTCTAGGTAAATTTCAACATTTTTTTTTTTTTTCCTGAATTCAGTTTAAAATATATGTACAAGTTCCTTTTAATCAAGAATCACTTGTCTCTTAATCTTTTTTACCGCCTCTGATATATATGCAGCTCAAGCACTTGGATTGCCATATCTAAGCCCTTATCTGCAATCCATTGGGTCTGATTACAAGCATGGTGTCAACTTCGCCACGTCAGCTTCGCCCGTGATCCAGCCAAACACGTCCTTGTTCGTGACCGGCGTAAGCCCCTTCTACTTGGCAGTTCAGGTCAACCAAATGAAGCTCTTCAAGGCAAAAGTTGAGGAGTTTAAATCCCAAGGTAAACAAAATCCTCAGAACTAATTAGAAAAGTTTTTTAGAAATTTCTCAAGTCTTGTTTGAACCTGTTTTTTTATATTATTATTATTATTATTATTATTATTATTATTTTCTGTTCTCAGAACAAACAAACCTTCCTCAACCTGATATATTTGGGAAAGCCCTCTACACAATCTACATTGGTCAGCATGACATCACCTATGACATAGTCGGAGCAAGCTCCGGTGGTGTAAAGCAGTATGAGCCTCAAATTGCTTCGGAAATCGCCAATGCTATCAAGGTTTGTAACTTACATTGAACTTTTTTGCCCTTCTGCTACAATTAATCACTCGTACGTGCAATTTTTTTTAGAGCAAAATTGCATTTTTAGTCATGTTGGTTTAACACCATAGCATTTTTAGTCCCATAATTTCAACTTTTTGTCTTTTGATCTTGTAATTTAATATTTTGCTGCAATTTCAGTCATTTGGGACTGAAATTACAACAAAATTTAAAATTATAGGACTTAAATTGCTAATGAAAAATTCATCCCAAAGATTTGTTTATTAGCAATTTAAGTCTTATAATTTTAATTTTTTTTGCAATTTCAGTTCCAAAGGACTGAAATTGCGTTGAACTTTAAAATTATAGGATCAAGTAGCAAAATGTTCAATTCTTAGGACTAAAAAAATCACTGGATCAAACCAAGAGACTAAAATTGCAATTTTGCCCCTTTTTTAGTGATAAGTCCTTGAAAAAGTTATATGGTTACAACAAAAATGGTTAAGAAAACAATAGCATCCCTTTCTAACTGGCATAAAAATATAGCTGAATAAACATGTTTCAATATGTATGTTATAGGAACTGTACAATCTCGGAGGGCGCACGTTTTTTGTCCAAAATCTAGCACCGATCGGCTGCTATGCAGCCGTTCTAACGCAGGTGTCTCACGAGAGCTCGGACATTGACTCATTCGGGTGCATGATGTCCTTTAACAATGTTGTCAGAGAATACAACTCTGTCCTAAATAAGACCCTTCACAGTACAAGACACGAACTTCCCGATGCCAACATTATTTACGTGGACACTCACTCCGTGATTCTTGAGCTTTACCAACGACCCACTTCCCATGGTCTGGTTTCCATTTTCCTACTTAAAATAGTGGATAATAATTACAAAAACACCTCTGTATTTTGGCCTTATGTCGTCTTTTGACATTTGAGGAGAAGCGTTTTCGTAAATTTTTTTTCGCCTTTTTACTTTGAGTTTGCGGTGTTTGTAGGGTTGCAGCACGGGATCACGGCATGTTGTGGGTATGGAGGTGGAGATTACAATTTCCACCCCAAGGTTTTCTGTGGGAACACAAACGAGATTGACGGCCAGAAAGTCATGGCCACGGCTTGTGAGGACCCACAGAACTACGTGAGCTGGGATGGGATTCATCTCACGGAGAACGCGAACAAGCTCGTTGCCTATGCAATTCTCAGTGGATCTTACTTTGACCCTCCCTTTAATCTCAATCACTACTGTGAAATTCAGCCTATTGGCTGAGCATGTCACATTTTTGTCATTCTGGAAAGAAATAATCAGGTGTTGATCATTGCATTGATCATGCATGTTGCAATGTGGTGAT